GAACCCTGTGTGTTTCCAATAAATATTGGACTTTAATCCTGCCTGAGTCTCTGTGAGTTCTGCATTTGGGCTAGTAAACCTCCCACATCATGACAGAACAATCCGGCCAACAGACTAGCCCAGCAGACTTAATGGAGACTTACCTGACGCTGTTTGAGGAGGGACCGACGGACCCCGCGGAACCACACTGGACGGTTTCGTTCTGTCGATGGCTGGAAATTCTGGACCGTCTGGAGACCCCTGAGCCCGCTCTGAGCCGTCTGGAGACCCCTGAGCCCGCTCTGAGCCGTCTGGAGACCCCTGAGCCTGCTCTGAGCCGTCTAGAGACCCCTGAGCCCGCTCTGAGCCGTCTGGAGACCCCTGAGCCCGCTCTGAGCCGTCTAGACACCCCTGGGCCCGCTCTGAGCCGTCTAGAGACCTTTCGGTCCGCTCTGAGTCGTCTGGAGACCCCTGAGCCCGCTCTGAGCCGTCGAGAGACCTTTCGGTCCGCTCCGAGTCGTCTGGAGACCCCTGAGCCCGCTCAGCGCCGTCCATGGACCTTTAAGCCCTCTTCATTCCGGTACGAGGAGCCACGGTCGGTGGCCTCCTCTGTTCCTGATCCGGAGCCGCAATCGGCGGCCTCCTGTATTCCTGTGGAGCCACAATCGGTGGTCTCCTCTGTTCCTGTGGAGCCACAATCGGTGGTTTCCTCTGTTTCTGGTGTGAAGCCACAATCGGTGGCCTCCTCTGCTCCTGATTCGGAGCCACAGTCGGTGGTTTCTGGTGCTCCTGATTCGGAACCACAATCGGCGGCTTCCTGTGTTCCTGATTCGGAGCCACAGTCGGTGGCTTCCGGTGCTCCTGATTCGGAACCGCAATCGGTGGCTTCCGGTGCTCCTGATTCGGAGCCACAGTTGGTGGCTTCTGGTGTTCCTTATGCTGAGCCGCAATCGGCGGCCACCTCAGTTCCTGATGCGGAGCCGCAATCGACGGCCTCCTCAGTTCCTGATGCGGAGACGCAATCGACGGCCTCCTCAGTTCCTGATTCAGAGCCACAGTGGGTGACCCTGTTGCTGAGCTGCAGAAGCGGAGGCGGCGTCCTCCTCGGAGCTTCCTGCAGCAGCAGAGNGTCCGAGCTTTAGATAAATCCATGACATTTGCATTTTATGAGGTTTTAACAAATCATATTGTGATTGTATATGATATAGAAACGCAAAGAAATATATTATTTTTAAGTCAAATAAAAATGCAGAACCTTTACAACATTACCAGAATAAAAAATAAATATACAAATATTTTTCAGGTCACGGCAACAAATTTTATTAAGTATATCACCAGCTTTGCCTGTCTACCTCAGCTGTTAACATTTACTAAGCACTAAGCACCCTTAGTATTGATGGACTTGAGAGCGTGTGGTAACATAAATGCTGAAGCATCACTGCACATTTACCATTGGATCTGGTCTGGGCCATTTCACATTAATTTAATTCAGGTCTGGCTATATGTTCAGCATCCTCATCATTCAAGTGTTTGGGATCAGAAATGGAAAGAGCAGCAATACATGCACTCCATGTCACCTCCGTGGAATCATATTTTTCCTTGGCCTGTTTGTGAGATAAAATGTTTAAAGTGTGCCTTTTCTCTGCCTGAATAGGGGGATTATTCAGAAACCTTGTTCCATTTTCTATGTTGAGATGTGGGAAAAGGGAGGAGGTTTGAGAAGAAGTTTCCTCCTTAGTTTAGATAAGAAGGAAACCTAGATGAACATGTCCTCACTGTGTTCAAGGTTCTCACATGTGAATGGAAAACAGTTGTCTGAAATGTTTATCTGACTAAGTTTATGTCTTTGATTAACTGAATTGTTTCTCTTGGGAAGACTCAATGCTCAAGTGTGAGAATTCTCTTTATATGCAGGGGTGGGCAGCCACCTCACCAGAGCCACACTGAGAGCTGTATTCAGCTGTTTGTGTCGTTCTCCTCTGCAGAGTAAAATTAAACCTTTTCTTCATTGCGTATTGCATCTCAGTGCTCATTTTTACTTCACACTTCAATGAATGGCTGCTAAAAGCATTAATGAATCAGCCAAGTATCAGCCAATACCAATACAAGAAAACAAATCCAATGATCGAGAAAAAATATCGTCTAGCTGTTGTGCTGATTTATTTCTAAATGAGACCCCTGCTGCCTATCTTCAGTGGTAACTGGGAGGAAGACGTGGTACACTCCTGGTATAGAGGTTATTACTGTATTTCATAGATACATAGTGTGTTTACACAGGACAAACTAAATGCACACACGTACTGATAGTACAATTTGAAGAGACCAATCAACCCAGCAGTGTTTTTTTTGGACTTTGAGGGGAACCTGGAGTACTTTAAGAAAACCCACTTATGAACAAGCATGACAAAAATGTTTAAAATGTTTCATGCCTTATTTTTTTTTTAATAAAAAAGAAAACTGGCATCATGGTGTTGTGCTGTTTCCTGTAGCCAGATGGAGGCAATGATACAAAAGAAAATCAAAGTACTGCCATCAATTTTTGCTACGTATATATTATTTTATTTTCAGACATAAACAGAGAAAAAACTTTGCTTTTACAATTTAGTTATTACACTTTAACAAAACTTTCACTCATACACTTTAAATGATATTGAATTTGAAGGATCCTTAATCCCTTTCTGAGAACTTCTTAAACATAGGTAAGATCTTGATAGAACAAAGAAGCTCTATTTTCATTTTACAGCATGAAAGGTAGCCTCTTTATAACTGTGCCAGTCCCATTGGATATATGTAAGATAAAATACAATATATTTAATTGAATAATAAAAAGTGTAAAAGCAGTATGTATGTGTACAGATAAGTAATTTTCTGACTTTCTTTAGCTGTTGTCTTTTTTAGGTGTGAGTAACCATCCGATACCTTTCATAACTGCTGCACCTCCTAGTGCTGCCATTTGTGTGGCTGACAAAGCTACAGCTTCCCCTGCCATCATTGCACCACGAACTGCAGCTGCTCCTGCTGCCCACATTAAATAACTTCCTGCATTCTCCACACCTTGTCCAACCTGACCCCACCATAGTTTATTCTGGGCCTGTTTGTAAATCTTGCTGGTATAATGGCCTCCATTTAATTCTACCACCTTGTCTATAATCTCAAATAGATCATTCACCTTAGTGCGATTTCCAATGTTCTCATTGTTAAACACAACATATCTACCTTCACAGTCACCAATGAGCTTCTTCAGATCCTCACTTTTCTGCAAATGGTTCTCAATGGTGCCTTCAAGCTCACCACCTCTGGTAAAAACAACAACTGTGTACTTTGAGACTCCCTCACCAAAGTTTTCTGTGATCCACTTGATGGCATTCTTCCCCTCTGCTGTAAAGCGTTCAGCAAGACTGATGACAAGCAGGAATATATGTGGTCCAGGAAGAGACATCATGATACATTTTTCTATTTCTGTTTTTAAGTCTTTCTCAGAGAGCTTTGTGTCGAACATCCCCGGAGTATCAATGACGGTCACTGTTCTGTCATTCATGTGACAAGTTTCTTTTTGACATTTCTCAGTCACAGATGAAGAAGAAAAGTCGACATTGAAAGCCTTCTTCTTCTTCTCTCCCAGGATGGTGTTCCCTGTTGAACTTTTACCAGCTCCAGTTTTTCCCAGGAGGACAATTCTTGTTTCTTTGAAAGAACCAAATAAAATGTGTTGGAAAAAGTCTCAGTTAAAGACCGGTTTGGATTCAGGAAGGTATAACTAAGACCTGTCAAAAAACGTGGATAAGTCTCCTGAGGAAGAAAGACATACTGACCTTTAGCTGAGTCTGAATCCATGTTGGACAGGATATAAAAGAAGATCTAGATAAAGTAGATCTGGATCAACTTTAATTGCAGAAAAGTTGTTTTG